ATTGCTGAACAATGACGGGTTATCAGTGCACACTATAAACAATCAAAAATTATACACTTGCTGTTGTTCAAAAAATTTTTTTGAAAACAGATATGAAGCAATTGTTGGAACGGTGATGGATACTTCTCTGTATCCAAACACCAAACTATCAATGCAGTTGAAGTTTTTTTTTAGCTTTTCTCAAAAATATTATTTATATTTTAAAAAGAAACAAAAAAAATTAGCGTTTATATACCTTGTTTTTTAAGGGTACTCTTTGTTGCAGTACTGCTGTTTTGGAAACTATCATCCAACAATGAAATGATGGCCGCAGTTGAACAGTGGAACAAAAAATGAAACTATAAAAAAGGCAAAAAAAAATATAGTAAAAACTGTTAGCTGTAAAAGTAAATTTTCTTTTTTTTTGCTTTCACTGATACTGACATCATATATGAGTAATCATGAATTGTATATGCACAGACTGGAAGCCTGATACCATTGAAGTACAGCAGATGAAACAACAGGCTAAGGAAGAACGGTTGCAACGTCAACTGAAGCAAGAATCTTTCTAAGGTATTTTTCCTGTTTCTTTCAAACATTTATATTTATTTTAGATGTGATGTGTTGAAGTTTTTTAGGTTTACTGTTTTTAGTGACTGGAAGTCCCGTTTTTAAAGAAATGAGCGCTCGTGAAGCATTTATACAAAAGCAGCGCGAGTACGAAGAGATATTGGAAAGGGTGAAGGAGGAAGTAGAAGGAACACAGCGTGAACTCTCTCAAGCTCATGAAACGATTCGTCGACTTGAAAGACGGGTTCAAAAACTGAAAGTAAAAAGTTCTATTTAAAATCTTTCAAATCTTGTTGGTTATTCAAAAAATTATTCATGTGAAGGGTAAATTTGAATTAAATGTTCCACAAAGAGAACTTGAAAGGAAAACTGCGGCTGAACAGAATCTCTCTCTGAAGCACAAACTTGATGTGAGTTTCGTGAGGTTTTTAAGTTGTGCTCTCTGTCACAGTTGGGGTCAGATGCATCTTTTTAAAAAAGCGCTTGGAATTTTTGATTTTTCTTCAGGAGCTGACAGCTGATCTTGAAGCAGTAAAAGACAGTCAGAAGGCTATCGAACCTGACACCATACAAATGGGGAACAAACGTGCCTCACAAGAGAATCTCTTTCTGAAGCACAAACTTGATGTGAGTTTCGTGAGGTTTTTGAGTTGTGCTCTCTGTCACAGTTGGGGTCAGATGCACCTTTTTAAAGAAGCTCTTAAAATTTTTGATTCTTCTTTAGGAGCTGACAGCTGTTCTTGAAGCAATAAAAGACAGTCAAAAGGCTACCGAATTTGACATTT